TCAATGCAAGACCTTTCTTCCCGGGTCTCATCGTGTTCACGTCAGCTGGGTCTGGGTGGTAAAACTCTCTCACGTTTATTATCGGTTTATTCCTGAACATCGCTACGGTAAGGAACACATTGTCGCCCAACGGTAGACGTACTTCATGCGGCTTCAAGTTGGTGTTCTGACTGGAAGGCGCTCCCTCGCTACAGAGGATTTCCTGGACGATGGAGGGGGTGGCCCCGATGGCGGTGTTCGGGAGGACCGCTCCGGGCTGGACGATCTGCTGATGTGCCATGGTTTTCGGTCTCGATCTTCGCTCCCTGTCGACGGCTTTGGACGCAGGTTTGTCTCCACAAGTGGGACTGGTTTCTCGCCAGTTTCTGTTGCCACTTTATACAAGTTTCTGACCGACACCCACAGACCTTCCACCAATCGCCGTGAAGTACGTCACCTACTTCACATGCAAACCAATCGACTACTCCGGATCCGCAAATCACGTCACCAACGCTTGCCATGCGGCCAATCAGCTACTACAGACGTTGACTTTAACCACGCCCCCACTTCATGATGCAATCCCGACGGTCCCGCTGTCCTGTTGAATAGCTTTCTGTCAAAGTAACAATATCGGTGGGCGTGGTACCATCCTTCAAAAATCGTTGCCTTGACAACAGGTTTCCCAGGTTACCGGGGTCAAAAGTGCACCGTAAACTTTATCTGACCTCTTGCAATGACGTCAGAAAATCATCGTCATATATACCATATTAAAATGTACATAAATTAACTCATAATTACATTACTCATAACTCATAGTTATGAATATATCAATATAATCGATTGTATGTCGTTAATTCGCTCATTAGCTACATTCCTGCATGTATCTGCATATCCTTAACATAAATCTGCATACTCGTTTACATAATGACGGTGACCTCTGACCTGCTCCGCCTGCTCCGCCTGAATAATAAGGCGTCTGCTGTCGACTATATACTACTCACGGGGATTTCCCGGTTTGTACCACACGGGGTCTCCTTGTTTGTATCGCACGGGCCACGCTCAAACTTTTCTGGAATTGACCAATCAGAGCTCGTTAAAACCATTTGCTCTCTTCACGCGTCCTTTCCACAAGCAGGACGCTCATTTACATGCTCATTTAGCCAATGACTGGTGAGAGCAGTCAGCGTCAGGATTCAGTCGACCACAGGACCCCAGGTTAGTAACACACACTCTGTATTAGCTCTCTGTAGTTCATATCCCTTGTGGGTTCCACTCCTGTAACTTAGATCCGAAACTAGACCACTGTAACTCTAAGACTAGACCATTGACTTTGTATATATACAGCAGATCACAATACAGCAACCCGTACAATCGAAATCGACCCGGCTCTGTGTTTTACTTGGTTAACTAGCAAATCAGATAGACGCGTAACCGTGACGTAAGTAATGTTAGACCAAGAACTAAACCGAGATCCCCGAAATACTACACTGATTCCTCCTAAATTCTACACTGGTTCCCATACCGGATTGTACGTCAAGCTGTTGTCCTGTGAACGCTGCTGTAATTGCTAGAATTTTCGTTAAAAGTTGCCACACACTTTGTATAGTTCGTAGCTTTGACCATCTGCTAAGCGTCCCCACGTGTTCCGCATTTTCGGCTAGCTTTCTTGACCTGTTTTCCAAACTTTGCTAAGTTTATAGTTCACTTTGTCCGGCTGATTTTGTGGCGCTTTTGGCGTTATTGCTTTTCCCGTACCCCAACTTTTTCGGATAGAACGTTTTTCTCCGGTTAGAAAAGCCGAGTTTCAGTTTCTGAGAATCCCTATCTAAGCGTCACTTCACGGGTGGTCCTTTGTTTGTGTCGCATCTTGCATTCCTGTGCCATCTTGTCCCAGTTACCCCTGTGGTGTAACGGTCGCCCCTCACTGGTCATTTCCTGCCCTTCTGTGGCTGTATTGTTTCTGAAAGCTGGTTTTCCATTTTTGATGCGCTTTCCCATGCTTTGTTGTGTTTTTATTGCCCCGTCTAGCCCCGTTCTTTTGTGCCCTAGTATTTTTTCTCTCCGCTAAATTTGCCCTTTCCTGTTCGGCTATTTTTTAATCCTCCTGCCTGGCCTTTTTGTTAGTCTGTCCTTCACTATGGCCCCAAAAGTTGACTTTGCCTTTGGTTTTGGAACTTCATATCCCGTCTCGATTCGTTTGTGGAAAGTCGAGCCAGTACGGCCAGGGGGTGAGTTGTTAGCAGACATTCCCGCGATGATAATGAAGACCTTTATTTGTGTTCTACAGAACTAAGTACAGGTCGCATGGCCATGGGTACAGAACATGAACATAAACATATACATTACATACAAATGAACATATAAGAGCGTAAATAAATGTCTAATTTCTATTCTTTTCGGCTTCATCTCGCTTGGTAGTGATTGTATGGATATATGCGGCTGTGAGATCACTTAGAGTAGGTTTATCGAAAGTTAAAAGGAATACAAATTTCTCTTTACTAGTCAAATATCTGAAGTGGGGAAATATACTTAATACATGGCTAAAAAATATGAGTCTATCTCTACTATACAAGGGGCAATCTATGGTGAAATGTATTTCATCTTCTATTTGGCCTAAACTACAGAATTGACAGGTTCTTTGTTCTAGAGGAGTGCGGTAATGTCTTCCTGATTCAATTCGTAATTTGTGACAACTGATTCTTAGTTTTGTAATGGAGGACCTGTGACGTATGTTCGCTAAGTTGAGATATTTTTTCTTATCTTTTCTTATCTATATTTTTCTTTTCTATAATGACAGTTGACACGAGGCTAATCACCGCTGTTTCCCTACAGTTGCCCAGGCCGGCGGGCGTGGAGATACGTAGCCCCTTTGCCTTCTCTCAACCAGGGATACAGACATAAAAAGGTGAGTTCATGCGTACTTTTATCCATAATTCTACAGGGTGTGGATGTTTGGTAACGTCGGCCAGTTTTGGCTAAGTTAATTTATAAGGCGCAGAAGGACTGCTACTTATGCAGTTCACAGCTGTCATGTCAAGTGTACTTTTGACGCACATTCTATATCAGCCTTGTCTTCAACTGTTTTCTACGTTTCGATGACTTGTTTAGGAAATGTACACCTTGTTTTGAAGAAATACATTTCAAACCGCTACCATTTGCTCACGGTGACGTTCGCACCACGATATGTTTTGGCCGAGATCTTTATGAGGCGCGGTGAGAGGCATATTACTGTTGACTTACTTGCTGTGGCTAGAGGGTAGCCATTTAAACGGGAGATTTGTCAGGTAACATATACAATAATGGTAGGAGCTGTATTTCATGTATAGATACCTTCAATGTGTGAAGTCCTGTCTATTGTTTTGTCCTGACACTAGCAACAAGCCTCACACCTTATCGGACCAATGACAGCCTTTCTTCTCTCCATACAGTTGCAATACCATGTGCCTTAGCTAGTGCGCAAGCTCTAGCCGGCAGTTGCCGTGTTATAGCCGGGACAATCACATATGCCAGAAGCCGTGGTCACAGCTGACTCAAGCCTCCCGGTCACAGAGCTGATCATGACAACTGACTCCAGTCTCCTTTGTGTAAAATTTTGTTTCGATATTGTTGATGATGGTAGAAGAAGCATGTTGATATCATATGTGTATTAAGTAGTAGCATCGTCGACAGAAAGAAGGAAACATGGGAAGGAACCAGATCAGTAGCAGAGCCATCACGTGCAGGCTACGTAATGCATTGCTAGCCACAGTAAACCTTACACCAGTTACAGATTACTGGGATGACTTACATACGTCTGTACTACGATGATACATTGCCTGTGTTTTACGGTATCTTAGTGTATATATTGTAATGACCTATTTTACATGTATTTAGAAAACCTCGCCAATGACGGTTCAAATCGAATCGAGGAGAATGTACACATTTTAAAAACCATGAAGATGCTGAACAATCGGTGTATATGGGAGCAGTGGTACGATTGCACTCGCTAACTAACTTGTAAGAACATGATAGTGCAAGACCTGATGAAACTCCGAACAGTTCCCTTGTAATTACTTAGACAGTTCTCTGTTATTGTAGTCCCTGTTATTGCTCCGGTTACAAATATGTTTGTTTCTTTGAACAAATGTATTATTCTTTGCTGAAGTGATGTACCACTGTTATGCGGTAATACAGAATACCATGGAGGTATGAGAATACTAAGTATAAAGACACAGGATTTCTACAACAAGGGACGCCAGTTCAAGAAGCAAAAGATAACTCAGTTAAGACTGAAAGGATTAACGTATCCAGTATCATATAGTCATAGCCAGTCCGTCTTAAAAGTCTCCCGTGCCCAGTGTGCGGAAAGCCTTGTCTCTGCGTCTTTCCTTTATCCTCACATAGTTGCATTGAAAAGAACTTTATAATTCATCCGTTGGGTTTATGTCCAAACACATACTTTTTCATAAAGAGAAGGAAATCTACTAGAAAAAAACAACAACCAAACGCGGTGACATATTGGTTTATATTCAGACTGTCACGACATCGCCTTTAAAACATTGAAAAGAACTTGAATTCATCCGTTGGGTTTATGTCCAAACACATACTTTTCATAAAGAGAAGGAAAACTACTAGAAAAACAACAACAACCAAACGCGGTAACATATTGGTTTATATTCAGACAGTCACGACATCTCATTTGAAACATCTGACTTCAAATGCTGACCATGTTCAATTCCAAACAATGATCCTGACCAAGCTGTCGAAAAAGCTCCAAAGTCATTGAAAAACGGCTAAACAGCTGGGAGGGAAGACCTCACCCGCAAGGTGTTGCCAAAAATGAATTCCCTAGGGAATGCGTGCGTGGAATATTTAGAATTCCTGGCAATTCAATCGCAGTACTATACTAAGGGCTCCGCCCCTGAGGCGTCGCCAAAAATTTGTGGGTCCTCAACAAAAATTGTAACAACATCTGGATCTGGTATTTTGAATTATTCTATAGAGCTTTTGGATGCCCATGTGATAACTGATAGAACCCCATATGGCCATGTTATACGGGTAAGGCCACACCGACTTAATTTTATGGATGACATCCGCGCGCGCAGTGATTTTCGCCTGTCCTCAAAAAAAAAAGAAAAGAAAAAAAAAGATCACGTCATCCGAGGCTCTGGCCTGGATAGTCCATGGTAGCTTGCTATATAGCGACAATACGGAGCTGGTTGTAACTCTGGAGGACGGCACCCAGGCTACCAAATCTCCACGACTCAAGAACTCAGTACATATGTACAGTGTCGATTCATAAATCCGCAAAAAGCCAGCATGTGCCAGCTTGTCGTATATGTCGCTATGTTCTGTCACAGTTCTGCCACAAATTCACAATACCAGCTTTGTATTCCTGTGGTTTAGTAGCATTTTTATTTTTGGCTGGATTTTTATTTTATTCGCCTGCGCACACTAGTTTGGGGGTCTTCAGAGGATGTCATCCATGAAATTTAGTCGGTGTGGCGTAATTATCACATGGGTTGGAACACATGTATCGAACATTGTGGTGACTCAGGTATAACATAACGGAACGTACCACTGATCGATGGGGAACCTCTGTTGTATCTCGTCTATGATTGGTTTATAGCAGGCGTCCCGTTCATCCTTCCCTTCTGCGCTCCAGTCCCGAACGAACTGTTTCAGCGTTGTCTTCACCTTGTCCATGTCAAATTCCCGGGGAAGAGGGAGGGCGGTTTCTGGCATCACGCCGTCTGTGTTGTCTGAATAGACATCACCCTGAAATACAGTTAAAAAGAGAGTTGGATAGCACAGAAAACGCATTGTTTTTATCCCACACCATTTCAGTTCCTTGATTCTCAAATATTACCAATTCAGCAGCTTTTTATGACTTGCAAGAAACATTGTTTTCAGCCACACTGATTCGAATTCTTGATTTTCAAATTTTGCCACTTCCTCTTTTCCAGAAAAACGCCTATGAACATATTTATCGAACTAAAAAAAATTATTCTGATGATTTTGCTGAAAACTTGGTTAAATTTCAAGCATGAATAGCTCTATTTAAGATAAGTTAAAGTTAAAAACAAGTCATTCTAATTTTTCGGACTCTGTAGTAGAGTAAGTAAAGGCATATAAACAAAGACCTAATTATTTATTATGATAAAATGAAGGGCGCTTTCAAAAACATGTCTGTACAGTTTTTACAGATAAGGCCATAGCAAGTAAATTTTATGGATGACATCCTCCACAGACTATAGGGCAAAAGAAACAAGGTGGGCCCCAAAAAAACAAGATTCCTACATTTTCAAATTTTGACATCATAAACCTTGTTGAACAAGAAATGTAACCTTCATGTATATTTTGCTAAGTTTACTGCCAACTATTACAACATTCATTTCTCACTGAAACAACTTTGTTAATAAAAGTTTTCAATCATTGTACAAATGGTTTTGATTCAGTGGGAACATCACATGTACACTGTCACTATCACATATTAAAGGTGCATCACTGATCGCATGAATCAAAGTAAAAGTCAAAACATTAAATCAGAGCCTTTTCTTGTCTCCTCTCTTCATAGTTATCTGCCATTCACGTTCCAGCATGGCAACAGACATCTTTTCCCATTTTCGGCATGTTGACCACTGTCAGAAGGCAACAAAATTTTTTGTTTTTTTTAAATAAAAAATCAGGCGAAAATGAATGCGCGCGCTGATGTCATCCATAAAAATTACTTGCTGTGGCCTACTCTCATCTAATAAACATACGGGTGGCCTAATAAACATACGGGTACGTTTATTTTTTTTGGCCCTAACATCCACCCAGTACGTTCTTATTTTGCACAGTACGTTTACTAATTTTTTGCAAACCAGTAATTTTTTTCAACTTCGTGTGAAAAAAATTGACAAATCATCGACGTGAAGACGTTTATAAACGCATATTGTAGCGAGAAACTTGCCATTTTCGGGCCGGTTTTTGCAATCACCGCGTGCATAAATTCGTCTGAATGTTCTATTGTCATGGGTGGTGCTTATCAAAATACGAAATATTAAATGCCCCATTTTTTTTGTCTATTTCAATTCCTAATTGCAAATAACAGTTAAAGATTTGTGCATATATCAGTAACGGCGCATTTTAGTACAAGAGACACAGGTTACCCGTCAATTTTGGTAACTTTCCGGGGGGTACGTTTATTCCGGGGGTATGTTTATTTGATTTTGAAGATTTGTCGGGGGGGGGGTACGTTTATTCCGGGGGGTATGTTTATTCGGCAGATGAGAGTAAGCATGAATACTGATACTATTATGATAGTTCCAGGCAGGAACCAGGTATTATTTATTTAGCAGTGATGTCTGGGCAATGCAGTATGTCAGAGTCTGAGTCAGCTGGCTCATAAAATAACATG